TCTAAAAATAATTTATTATTTTTAATAGGATAGGGTTATATATTATTACATGTAGCAATGTGTGCCTTCATTTTATCTACATAAATATTTTATCTGTTTAAAATAAACGATTCAAAGCTCCACTATACAAGCTTTTAGCGAGACAAAAAAATAGATAAAAAACAAATAAATTATTTTTAAAAAAATACAAAATGAATAAATGAATAAAAACAGGAACATTTTTTTTTATCTACAACAATAAGCAGAAAAGTTTACTTATCCCTTTACTGATATAAATTTTTTTAATACCATTAACTTCTGTTTCCTTAAACTTTCAGAAAAAAAACTAAAGCATCTTTTAAGTGGAGTAAAATTTATGTTCTTACAGATGAATTTTTTGTTTTAAATGTCAGTGGGAATGAGAGTTATGGCTCAGAGGGGTTTTCACTTAAAGGGAAAAAAATCATTCTTTGCACCGAGAAATTGCGTTTTTACCCACATTGGAAATTTAACCCGCTGGTCCATAATGCTATATGTTTTGCAGGGTCAATTTACAATTCTGGATCCCCTCATCTTTTTAGGCTGAGACATTAATTACGGTGTCTATCTACATATGCGGTAAAAGATATTGATAAGACTTTGTATTTCTTCTAGGATAATATATTTCTAAACATATTTTGGTTTAAGGACAAATGATACAAACAAAAAATGGATGTCTGTATATTTTTCGGTCTAATTTCATTGCAAATGATGCAAATAATAAATTTCTAGAAAATAAAGAAATTTTAATCATTCTCTAATGTTCAAAAGTATGCCCTTGTGAAACCATCCTTATTAATCTAATCAGTTATTTTCACTATTAATTCCATTTTTGTGCAAATTTGAATAAAAAGTTAAAAACTACGCGGTGAAAGTTATTCAATTTACACATTTAAACATGACCCAACTTGCTATTTTCAAAATCTTTGACAAAAGTTTGTTTGTATCATCTGTCCTTAAAGTAGGACTCCAAGCAATTTGCCCATTCTTTGAACTTTTCTTTTTAATCAGTTCGGTCGATTTTACTTGAGAAAATTACCTTCTTAAAATACCTTTTATTCAACACAAATAATCGCTTAATATGTTGATGATGTTAGGAATAAACAAGGCTTTATTTACATTGTAAGTAGAATTAAACTTAATGTACATGAATCTCTATATCATGTGTCCATCAAAGAAAATGCTTACCAGTTTAATATCTTTGTAGATTATCTGCTGAAAAAAACTACATATAATTAGTCTTTAAAAAATATATTTTCGTACAACGTTATGTTTGTGAAATTTATTCATCATGTAAGTACATGTTAACTATTTCATTAAAATCAGGTTTTGAACGTAGCTATGTTAATAATTTTATATGCGTTTTAAAATAAAGAATTAATTTGACTTTGCATATTCCGTAGTTATTAAAGGAGCATCTTCAAAACCCTTTTTAATCATGACCGATATATAAATGATATGCAGATTTATCATTTCTGAAAAAAGCATGTACGGAAGAGATTGACCTAGTATCTTTTTGAATTAAAAGGCGTGCTCAGAACGTTACGTATTATATACATGTATGTAAAACTTATTCATGCTGAATTTTACATATAAAATAACTCATTTTAGGGACAGAAGAGTGCATCTGTGATTTCTCTCTATTGGATACGCACGAAGCTTCTAGATGCAGCGTTTTTTGTGATTGGAAAAATATATGACAAGAAAGATGCTCCACTACATGCCAAAGTTTTGAATGCTGAAGTAACTGTGCAAGGATACTAGGATCGGTCCCTGCATGTTTAGTCTAATATACCACAATTCAATTCGTCCACACGTTCAAAATGAAGGCGAGGGCAATACCTGTGCACTCGAAACCATCTCATCAAACCTTATTCACATCAATTTCAACGTTTTATTATTTAATAATTAAGTTAAAAATAGCTATTTATGTAAAAACTATATGTATATAGAACTGTATTTAACCTTCCGTTGCCTTCGGATATTGAACTTGTCTCACAAGAGCTGCGTATATCTTTTTAGAGCAAAATACATGGAGTATTTTATTTTTCTCACAAAAAACTGTAAGGAACCTACTAAAGGAATGTACATACCCTTAGTTCCAAGAAGAAAAGTTTTACTCTGGAGCTAGTCTTAGTAGCACTGAATAAAGCCCTCTAGAGAAATATTACTCCACAGTTTCTCAAATGATAATTGTACTAAGCCGTCTAGAGGAATATAACAGCATAGTTCACATTTTGTATTACAAGAACTGTACGTAGAATTCGAAGGAATATTACTCATTTGTTTATATTTCGTCTAATTAGGAATGTACAAAGTCTCCTGGTGGTGTCGTATTAGAAATGTATGTAAATTTCGAGAGGAACACACCTTCGTAGTTCTGATTTTGTCTTATATAAGAAATGAACATAGCCTCCTAGAGGAATATAACTCCGTAGTTCAGATTTTGCCCTATCAGAAATGTACAAAGCATCATGGAGGAATATTCCCCCGTAGTTCAGATTTTGCCCTATTGGCTAATAGAAATGCACATAGACCTCTAGAGGAATATTCTTCCGTAGTTCATATTTTGTCTTTATAGAGATTAACATAGCCTCCTAGAAGAATTTACTCTGTAATTCAGATATTGTCTTTTTAGAGATTGAAGTACATATAGTCTCATAAAGGAATAATACTTCGTAGTTCAGATTTTATTATTTAGAACTGTACAAACTCCTAAGATAATTCAATTTTTCCTTCATAGAACTGTGCATACATATTAACCTTCTGGAGGAATATTACTATGTAGAAAAGACTTTGTTTACCTCCACTTATGCTGAGTTTTCACCTCGCATTCTAGATGTCTTTTTAGAACTACACAAATTCTCTCAGATATATTATTTACTCTGTAGTTAATTTTCGTTTTGTAGAGGATGTAAATAAGATTTTGTTTCATTTGTGTCATAATAACCTTTTTGAGGAACCCCGTAAATATTTTGTTTTATTAGAATTGCACAGTCTTTAAGAGAAATATTACTTTTTGGATGAGATTTTGTCTTTTTAGAACTCTTCAAAGTCTTTCAATTGAATATTATTACGTAGTTTAACTTTTTGTTTAATCAGAATTGCAATCCTCCAGAGAAATATTACTAGTATTTCAAAGATATGTTTTTATCTCTAAGAGTTGTTTATATCTAGAGGATTATTACGACCTCGATAAACTTTCGTCGTAGTATAGCATTACATAGAGGAATATTACTCTGTGGCTCAGATTAAGTCTTAATAGAACTGTGTATTATTAGCCTTCTGGAGGAATATTACTCCATAGATAAGTGTTTGTCGTAGCAGATCTGTAAATAGAAAACTTTTACTCCGTAGTTCATATTTTGTCTTAATAGACTTTACTCCGTATTTAGATTTTGGCTCAAAAGAGCTGTGCATACTTAGATATAGCCTTCTGGAGGAATATTACTCCGTAAATAAGTTTTCGTCGACACAGAGAAATATTACTCCGTAATACAGATATTGCTTCAATAGAACTTTGCATACTTAGCGTTCTGGAGGAATATTACTCTGTAGATAAGTTTCGTCGTAGTAGAGCTGCACTTAGAGAAATATTACTACATAGTTCAGATTTTCTCTTTTAATCATCGTACAAAATCTTCTAGAGGAATATTACCCTGTATACGAGATTTTGTCTTGCTTGAACCTTACAACATTCTTGTTTTAGTTTAGAGTTGTAAATAACCTTAGAGGAATATTACTCAGTAGTGAATTGTCAGACTTCAGAAGCTTTGCATTGGTCTTCTGGAGGAATATTACTCCGGAGGTAAGGGGTGAAGTTTTTGTCACACTCGAATTGTACATGTGCGTATATTTATAGAGGAATGTTACTCCATACATCAGTGTTTTGTTGAAAAACTGTTCTAAATATGAATAAATTTTTTTAAGAAGATATATCTGATTTGTTTCTTCTTATTCGTATTACAGAGGTTGTATTTAATCATATTAAACTCTGAATTGAAACCCGGAAAAGGTACGGTGAAGCACAGTACCTTTTTATTTTGCTGTCCCTTAAGTATGATATTTGATTCTATCAAGATTACTTTTTCCTAAAGTCAAATTTATACAGTTTTTTAACAAACATTTGTCTTTTTCTGTCATGTTTAATTCAAAGTCACTAGGCAACACTGAAGATTTCCACTTATTGCTTTTCAGTCCATGACAGGAAAAGGAATAGAGTTGACAGGACTTCCCGCACTGTCCCTGGTAGCAGTTTATGAGGGAACCAACCGCAGTAGACATAGCACGCTTCATCAAAGGTAAGTCACCGGAGTAGTGTTTGTAGCAATTCTCGTACTCTGTCCTGCATCGAAGCTTCAGGTCCAAGGCAAATCTTCTCTGCATGGATTCTCTTATGGCCTTGGTTCTTCCCGGAAACATGTGACTGCTGAATGGAGCCTTAGCAGTCTGTTTTCTTTGAGAGTCAAAGAAGTGACGCAAGTCCTTAAGGTTTTCAATCACATGTCCTTGTTTTTCAGATGCACCAGACGCAGCGGCACTGTCTCCATCGCTGGTGAAATGGGATATGACTAGTGGCCGGTCATCACTTTGTAACTCACCTACACAATTAGCGGCCCATCGCTTCTCGTCTCCAGTGGTGGTCTCCGGAGGAATGGTTGCAGTGCAGTCTTCATGTCCTGGGCAGGTAACTTCTTTTCCTTTGCTTCGTAGGTGTGCGCCTTTCTTACATAGTTTATTCCCACAGAAAACTGCTACCACATTCTTCCTCTGAGTTACATTTTCACTTACGGTATACATCACTTGGGTGGCAGCTTGGAATGGGGTTTTCCCAATGGTACTGAAGGTGGCATTATTGTAACGAGCATCTCCTTCCGCTCTGATGGGGGTATCCGGAAGTCCACATTTTTCATTAAGTTCTTGAATATTCTGCCAAATTTTCTTCATACTGTTTTTATTTACATCAGTTATAATTTTCCCCACTTTGTTGCAGGTCTGTTGCATGTTGGTGGCTGACGCTGGTTCAATATTTGCACCAAGAAGCATACCACGCATACCCTCTGTTGTAAGACTGGTACCCAGGTGACGGACAGCCATGGCCACATTCAGCTGTGCAGCTCTTTGTCCCCTGCCAGATCTTCTCACCTCTTCGTAAAGCTTTTCTCGGTGACTGGTATAGTGGTACTTCTTACATCGAATGGAAAGGATCCATGCCAGGCCTCGTTTTTCCTCCCCATGCTGATTCCAGTCCAGTTGACCATCACAGTCTGGAAACTTCTGTGAGTGTTCTTTAAATGCATTGTTCCACAATTTAGCCGTCTTTTCTTGGTGAAGTACTTTGTATAATTTCAATTTGGGTCATCTGACACAGATTCCATGTAGGTGTCCACTGGCTGGACCTCACTAGGCCCGGGTCGTAAAAACTTCATCTCGCTGCTTCGGCTCTTGGCATCTATAACTGCAAACACTCCATTTTTCTGTGGCCGTACAATGTCCTGAAACTCTTCTTTACTTAGTCTTCTCATAGGAACCAGAGATTGGACTGGGCTGGTGGTCCCTATTTTCTTCTGGCCTTTGTTGTGAGGAATACTTCCTTTTTTGTTTTGATGTTGATGCAACCATCTTGGTCCTTTTTTTGGCATGGTAATTATTTAACTGTATACTTGTAGACTTTTTCTAAGAATATGCTATTGTTTGTGGTGCACATTTTTAAGTATTTTTAAGTATTGTAAACTTTTGTGTTGTTTATTTATTTTAGAGCTGCCAGGACTTCTAAGAGAAACTCCATTCTTTGTTGACTGATGGAAAAGCCTCATCACCCCCCCCCCCCCCCCCTTAAGAACCCCTTATCTTAATCACCAGCCATTAATCAGTGAT